ATTAATTACTTTAGAAAAATTCACGTTTTTCAACTTAGAAAATTATTTAATATATATATTCCAACGGTTTTTCATTATGATATCGTTAATTCTATTTACGATTTATATTAGTTTAATGATTCTGAGTTGATGATTTTGGGAAAATGTTGTCGGAACTGATATTCTGCTATAATCAATTAAACAATTAGAGAATGTTATTAATTATTTTAGAAAAATTCATGTTTTTTTCGTTCTCCAAATTATCCAATCAATTTTTATTGTTATATTATTGTTATTAATTGATTTTTGTTTCAGTTGATGACGTTTTCTATTCTATGAACACGGAATTGATGGGAATGAATCTAATTACTTGTTTTCCGAGTACTTGGATATCAAATAGTCTCCAGGAATGATCAGGCGATGTCCAGGTAGTGGGAGCCTCGATGATTATTGAGATTGGATAATCATACCATGTAAATCGAACCCCGACACGTATATCCGAGTAAATTACAAAATTCCAATACACGTGAACACAATGCGGATACATGTACGACACATACTTCAACATGACTGGTGCAGGTCTCAGTGCTGGGGTATTTCGAGGGTTTGAGAGGTCAAGGCTCGATCGGAGGGATGTGAAATGTTTTCTGAATTTATGCTGTTTCGAATGAATTCCTCGTGTCAACGGAAAAATTTATGCATTGAGGAACATAAATCTGGGGTCTTCACCGGTCACTTCAGGTTGATGGCGACTCTGAGCTAGTGGGAATGTCCTAGACTTCACGAGAACCCATGAAACTTCAATAAAATCTGGGATTTAGACAGAAAGAATGAAACAAAGACAGAAAATCGTTGACTCATACTTAATTTGTAAAAAAAGAATACATTCTATTTTTTATAAACCGCAATTAAAAAATGAACAATAAAATAATTTACCTTTAACATCTGATCCCTTGATATTTAAAACTGAAATTGTTAATGAACATTTGATAAATTTTCTTGATTCGCAATTAAAAGTTCTGTTTCTCATTTTGATGGTTTCGAAGTTGAAAACTTCAATGGCGTAATATATCTTACAATATTCTAATAGTAGATGAGAGTGTCTTATTTTCCTGAAGATATTTTGAAAAGTTGAAGTCAAAAGCAGATATAAAACTCATGATGATGACCAACAGTAATCCAATCTCTCAGCCCTAGAATTCTCAATTTTTCTCGTTTCATTCCTCAACTTCTCCACAAACTTCATGAAAACATCAAAACATTGGATTTTATAACAGAAGTAAAAACTCGGCAGAGGCAATATCTGTAACGTCGATAGAAAATCTTCTGGATTAAACTTTCCAGGAGTTGGAGTCATACGTAAGCTCCCTTCAATATGTCGGTCTTGTTTCATCATGAAAGTACATTACGTTTATATTTGCACCTTGAGATGAGGAAGCAATTGAGTCTAGGTGTGCTGAGTAGATCAGCTCCATTGTCTTCACAAATCACCATTTGACCTGATCCTATTTCCCTCTCTCGATATTCACAATTTGTTAAATGTTAGACTTCCGTGATTCGTATCAGTAAACCCAGTCTCGAAGTGTTACCTGAAAGGACGAATCGTGATCAGGATCATTCGTAGAAGTCGATGAATCCATCGCAGGTTATCACCATTTAATTGCTCGTTTCTGATATAATATAAATTCGAAACACATTGATAAATTGTTAATTAATTATGTGAGCATCTGGGGAATCAACA